TTGTTTTTGTGTATGGTGTGAGGCGTGGATCCTGTTTCATTTTTCTGCATATGGAAATCCAGTTTTCCCTGCACCATTAATTGAAGAGACTCTTCTTTCCCCATCAAATGGACTTAGCACCCTTGTCAAAAATCAGTTGACCATAGATGTGTAGGTTTATTTCTGGACTCTCAATTCTATTCCATTGGTCTGTGTGTCTATTGTTATACTGGTATCAGGCTGTTTTAATTACTGAAGCTATATAATATGTTTTAAAATCAGAAAGTGTAAGTCTTCCCACTTGGTTCTTCTCTTTCAACATTGCTTTAGATATTTGGGGCCTCTTGCAATTCCATATAAAGTTGAGGATTGGTTTTCCGTTTCTGTAAAGAAGGCTGTTGGAATTTTCATCAGGATTGCTTGAGTCTGTAGATTGCTTTGGGTAGTACTGACATTTTTAACAATATTAAGTCTTCCAATCAATGACCATTTATTTAACTCTTCTTTAATTTTTTCAGCAGCGTTTTATAATTTTCACTGTATAAGTCTGTCGCATCCCTGGTTAAATTTATTCCTAAGTATTTTATTCTCTTATTCTAGTGACAGGACTATTCAGATTTAATGTTTAGCCTGTCATGAAATTGGTAAGTTATTCAGGGCAGAAAAGGAGAAACAGGATCCCTGAGAATACAATATTATATACCAGATTAGACTATCAGGATGTACAAAGTTACAGTTCCCATATTAGCTCACCCCACCACACACGAAGAATATAAATCATACTTTTAACTGCATATGGAGTGATCTAGAATTCTGTTTACGTGCTACTTCTCTATTTCCTTCTAACTCTTTCTTGTATTCATTTTTAAACCTTGACATCATGTTAACATATGTAGTGATATATGTAATGTATTCCTTGAAGTGATAACTGTCTTAGTCATCTAGTGCTGCTGTAATAAGTGGATGGCTTTAACAAAGAGAAATTTATTCTCTCACAGTCCAGTAGGCTAGAAGTCCGAATTCAGGGCGCTGGCTCCAGGGGAAGGCTTTCTCTCTCTGTCAGCTCTGGAGGAAGGTCCTTGTCATGAGTCTTCCCTTGGTCTGGGATCATCTCATTGCAGGAACCTCAGGTCCAAAGGACGCGCTCTGCTTCCGGCACTGCTTTATCGATGATATAAGGTCCCCATGTCTCTCTGCTTGCTTCTGTCTTTTATATCTCCAAAGAGATTGGCGTAAGACACTATCTAATCTTGTAGATCTCATCAATATACTGCTACTAATCCATCTCATTACATCATAGTGATATGGGAAATCACATCAGATGACAAAATGGTAGACAATCATACAATACTGGGAATCATGACCTAGCCAAGTTGACAGATAGTTTGAGGGAACACAATTCAATCCATCACAGTACCTAAGTGCATATATACATATCCAGTGCCATTTCCTTTGGACATTCATATATCCAGCAGGAGTATTTTGAGCTTCCATTGTGTTCCAGAGGTAGAACAGTACCAGGTACAAAGTCGTGAACCAAAATGTCACATTCCAGACCTATCTAATAGGACAGGCTGCTACTTAGTGAATCAACACAAATAAATGGACAAATACAAATTGTGAAGAAAAAGCTCTGAAAGAGAATTTGAGGTATAACATCCCAAGACCACAATGAACATACCTATAATAATTCAGTAGTATTTTAATATACACAATAAAATTATTCTTCATATCTTTTACTTCCCCACCCCCCCTTTTTTTTTTTTTTGGTGTCTTTTTAGCAAATTATTCTTCCCCAATGAAGTCATCCCACATGGCCTACTTGAGTATCTCGTTTAACCACTTGTATTAGTTCAAAGTAAGAAGGAAAAGAAATGAACCATATTGCCAAATTATAGCATATTTTTCTTCTCCCAGTTTATGAAAAAAATAGTTTACTGGTTTGACTTACAGCTTTCTAGAAATTTCTGCCCTTTAATCAAAATTTCCTTTCAGTCCATAAGAGAAAAGTTTCTGTTTTGGCTATGGGTGTTATTGCAGAAGTTCCAACTATTCCAGTGATTGTAAATTGCATGTTCTCTCTTTACACCATGAGTTGAGTCCAGAGGTTCTCATGTGCAATCAGAATTGTCATAGCACCAAAGTCTTCCTTGATAATGTTTCATAAACCCCAAATAATCTCCCCTTTGGTAGGTACAAAAAAAGAAGGCATACTAATATAAGACAGCCCCTGAAGAATTGTCACCCTCAACAGAATGTGAAGAATGGAAAAAACTTAGAGGTGGGTTCAGTGTAGGAGATAAGGGGTCGTCAAGATCCTTTCTAAGAACCGACTTAACTAGGTAAGTGGGAGAGAGGGAGGAGCAGGTTCAGTGTGAGAGGAGACAGCTGGGCATGTGAGTCTGGAGCTTAGAGGAAAGACGTGCTCTAGGAATGTAAAATTGAGAGTTACTAGGTATAGAGCAGCCAGGGGTGTTGATGGCAGAAAGAAGAGGTAGGGCCTGGGGAAGGCTACTGTATATACCAAGCTCAGGAGAGAGCGCAGCTGTCACAGGCCACGTCGCCCTTCTTTTCTGTGTCCATGCTGGCCCTGGTCCCTCTTAAAGTATGGCTTCCAGAACCCTGCCCGATCCCCTGGAGAGGAGCCCTGCCATCATGCAGTGAGTATGACACAAAACGCATTGCCAACACATAGCCGCCCTGTAAGGCAGAGTAGAACTAGGATTCCCAAGGAGTGGCTAGTGGATTCCAACTGCCAATTATCTGGTTAGCAGCCAAGCTTTTAACCGCTGCACCACCAGGGCTTTTGCAGTAAGTACAGAGGGTGTTATTTGAGGCACCAGACTTTTCGCTCATGTGAGTCTTGTAGTCAGCGCATCCCCTCGATCTTCACAAAAGAGCTACTGCTGCACCAACTTCTTTTTTTAAGCTAAATGACAAGCATTCTTTTATTTTGTTAACTTTAACCTTCTTGGATTCCCGGTTGTTTTATTACAGGCTCCCTGGCATACCGGTGGAAACCTATTTCTAGCACTTATCAAATGTGTGTTCTTGGGCAAGCTATTTAACTGTGCTTCCGTTGCCTTGCCTATAAAATGGAGGTGTTAACAGAAACCACTGTCAAACGCCCAGAACAATGCCTGGCACATAAGTTCTCAATAAATGTCAGTTGTCGTCAGCATCGTCATCTGCCAAGGTTGCTGATAATTATGTTCCAGATCATCTCACCTAATTAGATAATCATCATTAAGCAAAATATGGAACATGACATGAATCGTGGTCAAGAAACTGGTTTGCAAAGTGCAAGGAAGCCAGGAACCTGGAAGGGTAGAGGGGGATGGAGGTGGGGGGTGAGCAGACAAGGGCCTCCATCCCGACTCCAAACGGATTTCTTCCCTTTTATCGGTGTTATATATTCAGTGTCTAGAAATATTTCATTTGAGCAAAGAGTTCTACTGCTTTCAGAAAAAAAGAATTAATTTTGGCTGAACTGTTAGAGGATAATGTCCTTATCCCTCAACAATGATTAAATGCGGCAAAGCCTCTGCTAAGTGCAGAGCACTTCCTGGGCTCCACGGGTGAAAAGGAAGAAGAACATGCTCTGCGTCTCAGTGCTCCACGTGTAACAGGCAGCAAGGACACAGTCTCCCTGCCAGGCTTCACATGCTCTGCTGTGCTATGGTAGAGGTGCAGAATACAGCAGCACAGATGAGAGGGTCCTGGGAAGGCTTCTTGGAGAAGGTGGCTTTTGAAGGCTGGTCGGGATCTCCAGAGGAGAGAGGCGGGGGACAGGAACAGTGCACACAAAGCAAGAGCGTGTGCCTCATTCTCCGTTCCAGTCAGGTGACACAGATGATGGCTGGCTTTCATGCTTCTGTCTGTCTGACTGGGCTTAGGCAAGTGGGAAAGGAGGGATCCTGGGTGCCCAGCTCCTGCAGCTTGGCCGCCATGGGGAGGATTTAGCCTTGTTGCCCAATTTTGAGCACTGGTCTGATATTGTCAGAACTGGGTTCGAGGAAGATGAGGGTGACACACACCACATCCCTATCATGTGTGGTCAGAAACCAGTCTGCAGCTATGCCAGACGCCCAGAGAGAGAAAGGGAGAGGCTGAGTTAAAATGATCTATAAACAGAATGTTTATTTTTTTAGTGTATGAACAGAACAGCTGTCAGTATTGGGTTGTATCTGAGCAATCAGTGTCAAAGAAAAGAGTTAAAGCGCTCATGGCTGCAGTTTGAAAGTCTGTATTTCTGAAGGGTGTAGTACATATTGACAGCTTCATGTATGAGGGGGTGGGTCCCTGTACTTCATTCTCTGCCTGCACAACTTAAAATTACAATGTAGCCTGTCAGGCTTAAACTCTAGATATCTACAAAACATCAACCAGAATCGTGTCTGCAAACTATGGGTCTTTTTACCTTACTAAGCCACGGGAGACAATTTATCGGTGGTAATTGCTGGAAACTTGCCTACGAGCTGAACTCCCATGTACGGATAACCTGCTGGTGCCCCGGTTTTGAAGGTACTTTGACCCATTGCCTTAAAAGGGTATTACAGAAGACCAGCACGGATTGCAGTCAAAGACAGGTCAGTGATACAACTTTTGTTTCTTAATGTTTTAACTACCCAAGGCTTCAGGTTCCCCTGAGAAAGTGGAGATCACTCCCGCAAATAAAGGACGCTTTAGTGCCCTGACCTTGTGAGTAGGGAGCTGGTTTTCAGCCCTGTGGCCAGACACCCTTAAACCGGCCAGCTTTGGAGTTTGGGTATTTTATTACGTGCAAAAACAGCGGCAGCATATCCTGTCTACTTCAGTAGATATATCCCTAGAAAGTGTGTCGACACTAATTTTTGTTAATTTAATAATGCTTTAAATACTCTGGAAGAGGCTACTGATTTTAAAAACTGGGTGGAACGCGGCACAGAAAGCGAGCGCGGGCGTCGCCGCGGGGACCCCGCCCTCAGCCCGGCTCCGCTGGGGCGCCGCGCTCTGACGCCACCGCCTGCGCCGCGCGGCAGAAACAGGAAGTGGAATCAAAACAAAGGAACGGCGGCCGGCAGCTGAGCTTCCTCCTTCTCGCTCTCTGCCCCACTCATCTCGACCCCGGCCGCGGACCCCGAGGAGCCGCAAACCATGTCCAACCTGGAGAAACACCTGTTCAACCTGAAGTTCGCGGCCAAAGAACTGAGCAGGAGTGCCAAGAAATGCGATAAGGAGGAAAAGGCCGAAAAGACCAAGATTAAAAAGGCCATTCAGAAGGGCAACATGGAAGTTGCGAGGATACATGCCGAAAACGCCATCCGCCAGAAGAACCAGGCGGTGAATTTCTTGAGAATGAGTGCGCGGGTCGATGCCGTGGCTGCCAGAGTCCAGACAGCGGTGACGATGGGCAAGGTAACCAAATCCATGGCCGGTGTGGTTAAGTCGATGGACGCGACATTGAGAACCATGAACCTGGAGAAGATCTCTGCCTTGATGGACAAATTTGAGCACCAATTTGAGACGCTGGACGTCCAGACGCAGCAGATGGAAGACACGATGAGCAGCACGACGACGCTGACCACTCCCCAGAACCAAGTGGATATGCTGCTCCAGGAGATGGCCGATGAGGCCGGCCTCGACCTCAACATGGAGCTGCCGCAGGGCCAGACGGGTTCCGTGGGCACGAGCGTAGCCTCGGCCGAGCAGGACGAACTGTCCCAGAGACTGGCCCGCCTGCGGGATCAAGTGTGATTGCAGAATCCGCCCTGCGGGTTACGGGCCTTAGCCGTCTTCTGGAATGCTCTCTGTGTATTAGAGAGATACTACTCACCGGAAACTCTGAGTATGCCAGAATGCTGAAATGTTCTCTAAGATGCGTCTGCCTTTCGGCTTACAGCGCTGTCCAGAATGACAGGCTTTCTTCTCTCTCTTCTGAATTTTATAGTTCGTATAACTTGCGATGATGTGTATTTTTATAGCTGCCTTTTGACGCAACTGGTTAATTTAGGGTAAATGAATCTTTCTTAAAAATTTGGCCAACACTCTAGTTTCCGTGTGCTCAGTTTTGTGTCCAAAATTATCAAATTGAAGGTTTTTTTTTTTTTATTTGTTTTGTGTAGTAATACCTACAATTGACACGTGATGCATAGAAATTAAAGAGTGGAGAATGATTACTTATTTTGATTACATGGCTATAAACACCTGATTCAGCATACCTAATGATAGTGCTATTTCTGTGTCTCTCATTTTGGTTTTCTTGCCACCAGAGTGAGACTACAGTTGACTAGTGATCTGTTTTCATAATTTATACTAAAATTATCTTAGCACATTTTCGCATAATCTCTTAACTGTTCTGTAAATTTTTTTCATGTGATAATTCTTTGTGTAACTGGAAAAAATGCCACATTTATGGCATTTTTGCTCATTTTTCTGTTTACTAAAAGACAGCTTAACATTTGTCATTTCTTTGAAATGAGTTTCTACACAGTTTGAGTCATTTTCCTATTTCAATCTAAACTCTTAATTAGACTTCTTATAAAGTATATTAATTAGCACATCAGTCACGATACTCTACCATTGCCAAAGAACTGTTGATTGGTTTGGGAAACCCTGGGACTGTGTTTGTAGGTTTTGTTTGTCTCTAACAGCCAAAAACAGAAAATTAGAACTGCATTTTAAGTTCTAATTTTTTGCATTAATTATTTTGTCTTTTAACAACAGCTCTTAAAGAATGTTAGAAATATAGGATGAAATGCTTAGCCATGCAAATTACATAAATGTACATTCAGCCAGCTGGCAGCCTGGGAAGAAGGAAGGAGGTAGGACTGGGCAGCAAGCTTGCCTCTGAGGCCAGAGCCCAGCTGTACTACCTTTCCCCCTCCTACGGATGGCAGTGGTTTCTCTGGCTGAAAAGGATGGCACGCTGCCAGCGCTTTCTCACAGCCTCAAAAGATGGACAATAGCAACTTGCTTTGCCTTGGCTCCTGTGTTAATCTAAGTTAAATACTTAAAGGTGTTTTTAATTCCTTCTATTCCCTCGCTGGAAGATGTCTCCATGAGAGAATTCCAGTGTTTCAGAAAAACAATTACAGGGACTCTTCCAAGTCCTTGGAAAGATTCTTAGCCAACTATTTACCTTTATACTGTTTTCCAGTGAGAATGACTGCTTAAAAAAAGAGATAATTAACAGGTGTCTGCAGATTAGGTCATAGCCTTGTATTTAAGTTACTTTGTTTGACTGACGTTCAGAAGTCTTCACAAGGGACACCTGTTGATTGTCTGCCCTGCATCTGTTTTCTAGAATCTACCCTCTCCGTGCCTCCTCTTGTCCACATGGCTGCCCCAGAACCAGCCATGTGTGAGTACAGCATGGTCTTAGCCCCTCTGTAGACTGGAAAAAAATAATTACAGCTGAAAAATAACTTAGTGTTGAATCCTTTGGCAAATTAAAGATCCTTTTTTAGTGCAAATATTCCCAACAAAATTAATATATTTTGTGAGATTAAACAATGTTTGTATGTGCTAAAACTTTCTTAAGATCTGTTCATTTCAAACCATCTGTACGTTTTTATGAACCATAAATATTTTCAAAAGCACACCAGACCCATGAATTATTTCCTCTTTTGCAGTTGATGAAATGCTGAAATATACCAAATAAATAACTACAGTGCCCTGTTATGGCATATGAGTGTGCATCCTTTGTAAAGAGCTGTTTAAGAAAGAAGAATTCAGAGGTAGATTAGGTTCAGAAAGCATGGTATTTTTCCAGACTCACCGTCAACCTTACCAGTCAAGTTTTTGTTTGGTTAGCATGGTATTTTTATGGTTATTTCTAGAAATCCTGGCTATTTCTTTCTTACTGTAATTGTTCCTTCATGTCAACAAGATTCTTCTTCATTTTGAAACTTCTTTAGGCCAAAGATAGATATAATTTACAAAAGGATCCAAGTGAAACATACCGGGGAAATATTTAATCTTCCCTGCAGTTATAGTACTACTTCTACTGTTATTTCATCCTCTCTTTTTTTTTTCCCTGCCTTCAAAATGCACGATTTCTAACATGTATTTAGAATTACTGAAAAAAGAATAGAGTGTATTGATAAAGTAAACCAACTTTCCTCTCCCCACTTCTGGTTTATTTCAGTTCAGGAACCCAGGTGATACATGATGCACTGTTTAAGAACTTTCTTAGTAAAACTGTTTCTTTGGTTGTGTCATAACCTTTTTCTGAAGGAGTGTTAATGCAGGCACATATCTGTGCAGTACAGGTGTGCCACGAGGCATAGGCCCTGCTATGCGCTGCCCTGTCATCTCTGATTTGGAAAAGAGCCCCTAAAATAAGCACTTGCTGACTTGAACGTAGTGTCAGGGTCAGCCAGCCAATCTCACACTCTAAGCTGGAGTGAGGAACCTTGTATTCTCAAGATTCCCCCTCTGCAATACCCATGACACCCGCTTGGAGGCACTGTTGTAGCCAAAATCCAGAGCTCAGAACCTTTGGTGCAGTTGGCAAAAAGCTGGCAGCCAGCGGACGTTAAACAAACTGATGAGCAAACCCCTGTAATGCCTGTTCTTAATCAACTGACTGGAATTTGCAAAATGCCCGCCTGGTGTACCATTAGTTTTTCGACAGCTAGATTGTAAATTCCATCCAGGTCAGGACCAGACTGTCTCGGTCACAGTTATATCCCTCAGGCCTGATGTGGTGGCCGGCACAGCGTAGGCTCGTGGTAGGCTCCTACGGAGTGAAGGCATGCCTAGAGCGCCCTAGTGCAGCACACGCAGGAGGTCATGTGGTGGGGACAGAGCCCCAGGTGCCCCCAGAAGCACAGCATCCTCTTCTTAGCATGTATCTAAACTGAAATGTTTCCCTTTGCTCTTCAGGGTTTGTACATGCGCTCTCCCTCCTAAACAGTGTCGGGGCCAGCAGTGCAGCACAGCTCATTCACAATGACTGAACACACTCAGTTTAATGGAGGCGTCTCAGGCACTGGCCACGTGGGGTTTCTTTTTGGAGGTAAAAGGCTTGCTTTGCCCTTAAACGGTATTCAGATGGGGCACACACAGGGAAGGTGAGTGGACCCAGATGTAATGCAATAATCGAGCTGCACATTTAAGATCAGTGCACTTCACAAGCTCTATGCGTGTTATACTT